TCCATGCCGGCTCCCACCTCTGTAGCGAGGCCCTTTGGACCGGATCCATCCTGGGTCTGGTCCTGGGGCAGAGATTTCCCATCGTCGTCACTCATCATGGTAGTGATGGATGTGGAACGATTTGGAATGATAAGATTCTAAACAGTCTGTGATGATACCATCGATTAACGAGCCACTTCTCTCAGTCCAGAGGATGACTTTATTAAAAGGTGTTTCACTTACAAGATTTCTGTTTAGAATGGCGTGTAATACATCAAGCAGGTAACATGAACAAAGTTCAAACAGACTCTATACCAATGAGGCACTTTCCCGCCCGGGAAGAACCGCGCCAAAGTAATGGGAATCTCAACGGCTTGGATATTCCAAAACATCTTAGTTCCCATGCTATGAGCGATATTAGTAGACATAAGCTAGCTCCCTTATCTCCCACCTGTCCTTGAAGTGTTTCTGCGTTACGCTAACAAGCTTGCCGTTTATGAGCATGCGCACTGGTCACTAGGCAACAACTATCAACATATGAGTTAATACAGAAAGAATTGCATGTTAAGAGGTCCCAACAGGTGAAGCATATATACAATGAACAAATCATGACAGCTTGCTGACAGGGGGTCCACCAGAAATTGGCCACAGGGGTCCAGAGGTGGAACACCATCTACCCTCTGCAATCCGCCACCCATTTTTTTGCCTGATCTTCTATGTGACACCATTTCCTTAAGAACTGCTGAACTAATACTCAACACAGCTTCTTGCAATTTTTTTGACAACATAGTTCATATAAAACAATACACAATGATGCATCATTGCCACTTCCCCAATCAAAGCAGGGCGCCTGTGTCTTAACAGCGGCACGAGACACAGAAAACAATTAGATAAAACACCTAACTACATCTTCATGGTAGGAAGAGCTTTGACCATCAACGAAAGAAGTCCTGCCAAAAAAGAAAGCAACTGGCCGCCTAGCGTAGTAAGGATTATTTCAATTTTTTATTGAGGTGGTGGGACAGAATCTAAATATCAGTCACACTCCTCAACAACAATAGCTAGAATGGCTGTTTTCAGTTCTCTTTTTTCCACCCCTCGTTAATTGAATGGATAGCTGCCAAGAACACCCACTTTGTTTACATCTCCATCTGCTTCTCCTGTTTTTCTGTAACAGCTTGCTCTAACAGTCTACACACTCAGAGCTTTAGGCAGCTGGGGAATCGACTCACATCACTTGTATTTAAGCATCTTTGTTAATGGCTCGGAGGAGATGAGTAAACAGCACATGACACCGTTGGCGCCAGGTAGGGCCAAAATATTTCACTTCCGGCTATCAGCTGCATATCACTGGTGGAAGGAACTTTGGAAACCTCAGACGCTCCTACACAGAACCCCACTAGAAAAGGTAAACCCTACTCCCAAGTACATTTATATATATATATTTTTAAAGCCTTCCCTTCCTTCAAGAAGTGTACTGGGTTCCGCCCACTCCCCCTTCTGTTTTATCCTCAGAACAATCCTGTGAGGTAGGTGAGGGGAAAACGCAGAGAACAGCACCAGGGATTCTCTTTCTGTGGTGGCAAAGCAAATGGAGGGAACAGAACTCCCCCCTCCCAGTCTTGTAGCAGGAAAGCGCCAAGGGGAGGAGGGGTGCTCCTAGTCTTCCAGAAAGCTCTGGAAAGCCATTCCACAGACAGCCTAAGCCCCAGTGCAGGATTGTGCAGGAGCCACCATGAACTGACTGGGCCTCTCAGCAAGCTTCACGGGGCAGAGTTAAGGATCAGAAGCGGGGTCCCCTTCTAGTTCACTGCGCCATACAGGATTGCATCTTTATCCAAGTTTCACATCAAAGTTGAAATATTCATCAAACATATTCTCCCAAAGGTTTCTTTGTTGTATATGACAAATCCCATCACTAAGTCCATTATTTTTATATAAGCACTGCACAGCAAACATCTGCGGAAACTGTTTTGGCCAATTCGGTCTTCCAGAAAATCAGGCATGACTGTGTTGGTGTTTCAGATGGGCTCGGTTGATGTCTCCAAATCTAAGTTCTTAGGCAATCCTGAACAAGGTTAACAGTGCTTAGTAATCTGGAGTGAGGAGCAGCGCGGAGCGATGTGGGTATCGCTGACTGAGACTGACCCATACCTAGCCCATGAAGAACTGCTGCGTGGAATTCTGAGTGGAAGAAAGACATGGAAACAACTCAGTCACAAACACGCCGAACAGCAGTGGGACCAGTCTAGCCTGTACAGCCAAGATTCTTTGATTTTTGATGAATCTCTCAAGTCCAATGGCCACTTTGCCTTAAAGATACAGTCCTACGCAAGTTTATACATGAGTAGACCTTTTACTACTTGCTCCATTTTAGTTGTGTGATTTGTTAATTATTTGCCAACTTCAATGTGCAGAGTAGGCAGAGACAGACTATCCCCTCTCCTATAAAGGTCCCTTGGAAGTGGAGGTCAGAGGCCACCCGGGAACAAGGAGGAGAGGGCAGACCTCCCACCCTCAGTCCGGTGCTTGACTTTTCTCCAGTTTGCTCCCTCTAAGCCAGGGGTGTCGAATGCCCTGGAAATGTGTTATTTAAAGTTAAAAAATTTTTGTGTCCTTTATAAAGTCTGTGTCCTTTATAAAGTTTATATCTGTGCTACCTGGCATTACCTTTTATGACACACATGGCCCGGCCCAACAAGGTCTCATTTATGTCAGATCCGGCCCTCATAACAAATGAGTTCAACACCCCTGCTCTAAGCTGTGGAGTCTTGTGAGCAAAAATTCTCCTTTGTGAGCTACTGACATTAAAGTTGTGAGTGAGCAATTTGGCTGCTGCATAAATTAGTTTGCTCTGGAGCCATCCTTCCTGAGCTAAGACAAAAAATGTGTGAGCCAGAGGCTAAAAGACTGTGAGCTAGCTCACACTAACTCAGCTTAGAGGGAACACTGCCGGGGACCTGCTGTATTTCTTTGATGATCTTTCCCTGGCTGGAGGAGGGCAAACGAATCTCTCTGCTGTTTTGTTTTGCAACACAGGCAGATGTTCCAGCCGTGTGGCAGGGAGAGGGAACACCGCTGGACCCCTCCCCCCAATTCTGGGGCCAGTTGAGCCTCAGTGCAGGACCCCATGACAGTGATCGGTGCCCCTGGCTCCTTGGTCACAACAAACTCTGACAGAACGGACAGAACATTGGGAACTGGCTTACCAAGCAAGAACACTGGTTGAAAACTGTTGGAGCAGAAAATCTGTTCTTCATTAAGCAGTCTGACAAATCTAGATTTTCAGCACACGGTAGCTTTTCAACATACAGGACCAGAAAAGTCTATGGCTTATGTTGTTTGTACCGGTGGAACACTTAATCCCCACTGTCGCTAACAACTGGATTTTGCCAGTCTTGGAAACAGCAACGCAGTCTGCAGCAAACACAAGCATCGATTTGGCATCATTCACCATCGAGGCATTTGATTCAGTGCCTCTGGGCCGTGGCCTATCAGCAAGATGCCTCCAAGGACGTTACTGCATCTTAGCTGGACGATTTGAGCTCTGTGACACGAACACTGGAGGAAACCTTTCATGTTATAAACTTTTATTTATAGATGTACAATTGTATAATTGATTCTAAATTAAGAAATACAGCCTTTTGTGAGTATCTTTCAGGGTCTATGCCTTTTTTTATTGCACATCGCTTGTTTCATCCATGGCTATCTACTCGGGAAATCAAACGGTTTGGACGGGGAGGCCTTGGGACTGCCGATGCCGCTCTCGTCGGAAACTTCATGCTGAAAGGTGAACCACCCAAACAACTGGAGCTTCTGGGATCGCTGCAGATTAGTCAACAAGGCTGAGGTTTCAGACAATATCATGGCCCGATCTTGCCGCTACCAGAGAAAGGGTGGTAGCCAGAGGGGTAAGGAGGAAGGAGTCCTTTTACAGCTGTAAATATGCATTCAGTGGATTTCCCCTTGAACATGGGTAAGTTACAACAGGTAACAAGGCACACTCAGTGACTTGCACTGCATGAATATCCAGTTTGAGAATTCCAAAGGAGCAACTTGAGTAAAATGACCTTACCTGCTACTCCTAAGTGGGTACAGGAAATGTGTCCGGGGGGGGGGGAAGTAAAGTACAGAGAAATCCAGCCTATGTAAACTGATGGGATTTTGACTTCCTCTGTGTAACGTTGCTAGACGCTCTGCTCTTGAATCCCTATTCACTTCAATGGAGGGAGCCAATCCAGGCATACCAAAAGGAATACATGCACTGCGGTATCCCCAGCACTGAAATGAATGGAGGGGCTCTTCACGGGTGGGGGAGCTTTCTGGACTTATTGGTCCCCTGGCCCCCCTTCACCAGTACAGGACAACCAGGCTTGCCAAATCTGCAGGCATTAACTTGTTATGCTTCAGACTACTTTTGTAGCATTCCGGTGGCTTTTAAGGAGCAGTGTGGGCGTTATTAAGAACATGGGTCCAAATCCAAGGTATCTTCCTAATGGGAGATGGCCTATGCAGTTATGGGGATATGACTTTCAGCCTGTCCCGCGATGGGAGACTGCAGCAAAAAGCCCCTCCTGATCAAAAACAGGAAGCCAACAGAGAGCCGAACACCATGGTTTGCATGCTCTCCCTTCTTTGCAAAGGGAGACGTCTTCAAGCTCCAGGAGGGAGCTACGTCTCAGCAGCAGCACAGGGTGGACGATGGCCACCGTGCAAAGTTCTTGGAATGGAAACCAGCAGTAGTTGTATGCCAAGGAAAGGCAGCCTTGCTTACAACCTCCTAGCACTGCAAGATTTGGGGGGGGGGGATCGCTGTAAGGAACAGGCAGCCAGAAGGAGGGAAAGCACGAGGTGCCCAAACAAACACTGATTGCAAAGCAGGGGGGGAGGGACGGAGGGATGGAGGGAGAGGGGGAGAGAGAGGGAGAGAGAGAGGGAGAGAGAGAGGGAGAGAAGGAGAGGGAGGGAGAGGGGGAGAGAGAGGGGAGAGAGAGGGGAGAGAGAGAGCTGGTAGTGTAGGCTGCCATAAAGAAAAATAAATAATAAGTCCCACGCGAAACACCAGGGCCAGGATGCCTGTGCAGAGTGAAAAAACTGCAGGCTGGCGTCTACACGCCTCCTCCTTCAGAAAAAGCCACTTAAATAAAAGAAAAATCCATGTCCTCAAATAAGGCTGCCTTAAGTAGGAAAGGTGTTTGTAGGGTCAGACCGATAAACGGGGAGGGGGGGAGGCTAAAATGCACCCGTCCTGGGTTGTGAAGTTCCGCAAAAATGAAATAATTTAATTCTATCCCTGCATAGTTTAGAAGTACAACATATTTACAGTTATAAGTTAATTCTAAATTACTTCTCCTGTTTTTAAAACTGATTTTTCGTCACTCCCTCTCGGATGGGGACCAGGGCCACTGCAGACGGAAGGTCTCCTGCTGCTTACTGCTGCTCCCCCCCCCCACTGCTGCCCCTGCAGGCTTGCAAAAAAGAAAAGAAAAAGAAAACAAAGACACTTGGCTCTCAGGACCTCTGGATCCTGAAAGGGGCATGGCAGTTGGATAGTGGAGGAAGGGAAGGATTCTTCCTTCTGTTCTAAGGAATGTCCAGATCTAATGCTGGGCAGAGAGCGAGAGAGACTGAGAGAGAGAGGGCAGGGCAGTTGTGCGTTGCTGATTCTCCAATTCCATTTTTAATTTAAGATCTGATTCTTTAGATCATCTCCTTGGCTCAGTTCACTTCCTCCCAAGTCTGCAGGCATCTGAAGAGTCTGAGGACAAAAACAGCAACAGCCGTCAGTCTCCCGCACGTGGGAAGGATAACAAGAAAACCCCAGAGAACTTGCCCCACATACCCCCTTCCCAACTCCAGGAAACAAGCTATACGGCCAACTGGAGCAACTGGAAATGCTAAATCTGCCCATTTACAGTTTATCCTCTTGCCATCTGACAACAGCTGCACCGAGAAATTCCCACGGCCTGTGGTAAACAAACCATACAGGTCTTTCCACTTTCCAGGAGTAGGAGGAGTTCTCAAAATAAGATGGTGCACTGGAAGAAAGAGAACCCCCTCTGAGGAACAAAGCAATGGTCAGTGAGGGCAGCAGCTCTCCTTAGAGAAATGGCTGGTGGGTGACCCCTGCGACAGAACCCTTCCCAGGCAGGCGCATGTGCCCACACCCTCCAAGCTCTGCTTCAAAACTCAGGAGAGTCTGGGGCTGGGCTAGAGGGACCAGGCAGGGCAAGAAGCAGCCATTGAAAAAAAAATTCCTGACATTATTGTGAAGGCAACCTAGGAAAACCAGCAGGCTTTCAATGCCGCTGATGCGTCTTCAATTTATGTGGGCAAAACCTGAGCAAAGATCTCAATGAAGTGGTAAACCAGGGACTTGGATCCAGTGGGAAGTTTCTGCTGAATCAAGGGTTTTTCTCTCCCACCGATTGTCCCCCAATCCACAGATCCCTCATCCTCAACTCATGCTGTTCCAGTGATCTCCTGTCCCCCAGGAGCAGCATTTGGAGATGCAGTGTTGGCAGGGAGGAAGCAAGTCCCCTGTCCACGGAGGAAAATCCCTTTTGACAGTGGGCATTTTCTGCAGGATCGAAGCCAAGGTCTAGCCTATATCACTTCAGACTGCAGTGGGGGCTCCTCCATACAAAAAACCCCTTCCCTCTGCCTAGAAATCTAATGTCTGGGAGAAACATTCAAGACTAGATTTCTTTGTGGGGGCAGGATTATTCTGGCCTGCTGCATTCAGGCGAGAGCCTCACTCCCGCAGTCTGAAGGGAAAATCCTGCACTCAGTGCAGGAGTAACAGTGATTCATACTTTGTTACATCTACACTGGACTACTGCAATAAGGTGATGCTTAGGCCTGCCCTTGAAGAGGCTGCAGCTAGTGCAGGATGCTGTGGCTGGACTGCTGCTTGGAAAAAAAAGGAGGAGGAGGAGGAGGAGGAGGAGGAGGAGGAGGGATTTATACAGTGCCCTTCACTACCCAAAGGTGTCTCAGAGTGGCTTACAAACTCCTTTCCCTTCCCCTCCCCACAACAGACACCCTGTGAGGTAGGTGGGGCTGAGAGAGCTCTGACAGAAACTGCTCTTTTTCAAGGACAACTGTTATCAGAGCTACGGCTTGCCCAAGGCCATCCAGCCAGGTGCAAGTGGAGGAGTGGGGAATCACTCCCAGATTAGAGTCCGCGCACTTCACCCCTACACCAAACTGGCCACCGATCCACTCCCCAGCCCAATTCAACACCTTGTTTTTCACCTTTAAATCCCTGCATGGCTTGGGAACGGGGCATCTGAAGGACGGTCTTCTCCCACGTCCTCCAGCCGGGGCACTAAGGTCACAAGGGAGAGGCCCTCCTGGCTGTCCCACCCACTGAAGAGGCTCGCTAGTGGGGACCTGAGAGAGGTGTCTTTTCAGTGGCAGCCCCATGACTATGGAACAACTTCCCCAGGGAGGTGTGCCTCACTTTGGATCTTTCAGAAGAAGTTGAAGACGGCTTTACTTAGGACTGCATTTGGTTGAGTTTATTAGCAGCCCTGAGTTGTGACTTAAAATGTTGGGTTTTATGTTTTTTAACGTACGGTATGTGTTTTATCTATGTTGCAAGCCACCTTGAGCTCCGTAAGGAAGAAAGGTGGCTAATAAATGTTTTAAATACATAAATAATAAACTTACCACCTCAAGTGAGAACTACACCTAGGGAGGGAAGGATAAGGATAACTCATACCCTTCTTGTTTTTGAAGCCTATTTTCCCTGCACAGCTTATTCTTATCATCATCATCATCATCATCATCATCATCATCATCATCATCATCATCATCATCAGGGTTTTTTCACCTGTGCTCTGTTTTTTTTTGCTCTCTGGCTGAACTTCATTTCTTCCCAGGGGGTGGGGACCTCCTTGTAAGCCTTCCATGATCACACGCACGCAAACAGTTGTGGCAAGATGGCCACCTGAACAGTAACCACACGGAGGATGGTCCCTACGACAACTCTGGCACGGACCAGTGATTTTACTACAACATCAAACACTTGTCTTTTTTTAATAGTTTGCCGTGGCATGGTGTAAATCACGTAACTGTGCAGTTCCAGACAAAGATGAGGTGGCCAAACCTGTTTCTACACCACAGAGCGGCAGTTCCCAGTGAAGGCTCAGGTAACTGAATGCTTCTCAATATGAGAAAGGCCCTTGTGCACAGAAAGGTCGCACTTTGGGGAGAAGGGGTCTAGCCTAACCTCCTCCCCTCCATGTACAAAAATGTATTTATTTTTTTAATTATATGGACAAGTGTTCAGTCACATGAGCCTTTAACTAGTGGCACAATCTGCAAGCAGGTTCACAGCCTCGTCTGCTCTTGGTGCGGCCTCTGTGGGAAATGTGGGTTGCCAATGTTGGGTTGCCATTTGGAGCAGCCTGCACGGAGCTGTGCTCCAAGGGGCCACCAGGCCACTTTACCTGCAGCGGAAACACGAACACAGCTACAGAAAAGGCACAGTCAAATTCTCAGTGGGAAACATTTCTCTCCTTTGACCTGTCTCTGTTTCAACGTACAAGAGTAACTCCAGAAACATTTTTTCGCGCTTGATAAGGAGACCTTCCTGCAAAAATCCTGATGCCAGCTGACTCTTGGACAGCACCGTTACACATCCACTTTTGGCAAAATGGGCCACTGCGGAGGGTTCCCCTTCAGTTAACTGACAAATGACTGACTTACAGAGTTGTCACCTGGACTCTCTTAATCACACCAGCTACAGTGGAGATGGTGGCTGAGGCAGGGGCCTAGTTTATTCCTTATTTTTTATTTATATCCAACTTTTCTTTCTGTTTGGGACCCAAAGTGGCTTTACACATTGTTCTCCCCCCCACTACTACTACTACTATATGGCAGGAGATCCTAAGATTGTCTGGCACCCAAGAAGTTCTAGCTCTTTTTTAGCATTATGCACCACTAGGTCGTGAGCTAGACTTGTTTTTAAGGCACGAGACATTTCAGAGGTGGTTTACCACCGCCTGCCTTTGCGTCACGACCCTGGTATTCCTTGGAGGTTGCCCTTCCAAATACTAGCCAAGGCTGATCCTGCTTAGCTTCCGAGATCTGACAAGATCGGGCCAGCCTGGCCTGTCTACTTTATCCTCACAACACCAACCTGATGAAGGGAGCATCCACACTTGAAAGCTCGTACCCCCCAAATCTTGTTGGTCACTATGGTGCTAGTGGACTTGAATCTAACAATCACATTGTGAGGCAGGTTAGGCTGAGAGATTGTGACGGGCCCAGGGTCACCCATCAAGCATCCATGGCAGAGCGAGAATTCAAATACAGTGTGTCCCAGGTTCTAGTCTGACGCTCCAACTGTGCCAGCTGTCATAGTGCAGGGCAGATCCCACAACTCAGAGTCAAGCGGGAGGGCACCCCAAGTAATATTAGCTGATGGGAAATCCCCATTGCAGACAAAGCCTTGGAAAATAGCTGGGGGGGGGAATAATCTGTATCTGATGTGATGGGGATCATTCAACTCAACTAATTATATATGGGCAAATTTGCCCAGTTGTTTGGAGAGGCTTTGGATGTTAGAAGAGCCCTTAAATGGATGCACAGTCATCGTATGCATGACCACCTTGCACTGCTGAAAATGGAACTCTCGGAGGCTCTGCCCACATCTCCAGCCTATGCAAATTCTCCTCCAGATGTTACCAGGAGTGCCACAAGAAGCCATAGCTGAGCTGACTGGTAACATCTCCAGGAACATCGCCAGGTATAAGATAATCAGATTAAGTTCTCTCCTGAGCAAGAATCAAGCAATAGCAAAAAGGCCCAAATAAATCCCAAATGGGGCAATCAGCCTCTGGGTCATTTTCACTGTCCTCCCCAAAAGACATCCTGCACACCGGCAGGGCTGTGTTGGAGAAGCCAAAAGAACTTTGAAAGGGCAAGCTAAGCCAAATGCCCCAGGTGCAAGGAGGGCTTCTTGACGAAGGGATGCGCGTGCATGAGGGAAGGAGATCGACATGCCTCCGGGGCCGAGTCTAAAAATAAGTGCAGCTGTGCCGTGCTCCAGGATCACAGGAAAGAAAACCCCGCCAGCTCTTACTTTGACCTCTGTGGAGCCCTTCCACGACAGCTATCCATGCAAGGACGCCTGCACTTCCGACAGCCTGCTGCAGCTCGGCGTACCCATCTTCTGCGCCCTCTGATACAGGTCTGAATCTCCAAAGTAACGTGCCCGGTACAGTAAGCCTTCCTCTGTACAGGTATATATATATAAAAAAGCCAAATCACTGAAATGACCATCGAGAATTCCAGCAAGGGTGACATTCACTTAAGCTACTGTGATATCCATTGACAGACACTTCCACAGAACTCAACAGAAGATAGAGCCACACTCCTCTCATCTCACCCAATTTTGTCATGTGCCATCTTGTGCAGGAAGCTGCAACTGAGTCAACAGAACAATCTCTGTCCCAGACATCATACTTGCTGATGAACTGCAGTCACTCCTGCAGCAAGATCAAAAGCAGCAGGCGGCAGCTTGGTCACCGCCGCCACCGCCGCCACCGAGGGCCTATCCAAGATTCTCCAGGCCACATTTTTAAAACATCTCTCTGCGTCCTCCAGGACAGCACTGGTAACTTTAGTATGTCAGACTACAGACCCGGGTGGTAAATTCTGTCTAAAAGAGCTGAAAGAGCCATTTAATTATAGCATCCAAATACACCAGGCGACTTAATCGGCAGCACAGTTGTTGCCTGTAATGTGTTACTCTCAACTTGCATCTCTTGACAACAGCCTTCTAATGCCTTTGCAGGCATAATTAAGCCGCAGTTCAGTGGTAACTTATAAGACTAACAAAAAAGCGCTTATACCTGTGAAGAAGTGAGCTCTGACCCAGAACGACTCGGGCCAGAATAAATTTTGTTGGCCTTTAAGGTGCCACTGGACTCTCGTCTCATTTTGCTGTCAAGAGACTTACCTGAGGGCCCGCCTTTCCCTGCATATACCCCCAAGAGCACTTCGGTCGGGGACCCAAAACCGTCTGGTGGTTCCAGGTCCCCGGGAGGTAAAACTTGCTGCGACCAGGGCCAGATCCTTCTCAGTGGCGGCCCCTACCTGGTGGAACGAGCTCCCAGAGGAGATCAGGGCCCTGCGGGACCTTATGCAGTTCCGCAGGGCCTGCAAGACGGAGCTCTTCCGCCAGGCTTTCACATAGGGGCCGCCGCTGCCACCACCACCAACGGTGGCAACGCCAACAGGATTTGGGATCGCCCTGGGAAGCTCAGCCATATATTGTGTGATATTAACAACGCATGAACAATCTGCTGGACAGTGGTACCTCAACGGGGCTGACCTGAAGATGCCATCATAATCACTCAGGACCATCTTGTTATTGAAGCACTTTATTATTGCTGTTATGTATTATTGTTGTTATGATTTTATTGTTTTATTGGATTTTATGCATGGGCTGTCGCCCCTTGTAAGCCACCCTGAGCCCGCTTGCGGGGAGGGCGGGGTAAAAATGCCTAAATAAATAAATAAATAAATAAACACTGCTACCCCTCAGGAACTGTTTTGCAGGCATAGTTTGCATTCTTAAAGACTGTGAAAATGCTCTCCCGTTATGGAGAATGGTCACTTGGGGGGAGGGGGGGGGCGTCTCTCGCTTTCTCTCCAAGGGACGGTCAACTGGGAGCTGGCAAGCCAAATCTGACTCTTAAGCAAGGTATCATTAAAACGGGGGTGCCTTGAAAGGAAAATAAAAATGCTTCCAAGCTAGACTTCCACATAGTAGTTACCTCTTTCTTTTGGATTTGGTATGTAAAACATATGGATTATATGTGTGTCCAGTATGACACCGAGCAGCCTGCCACTGTTAGAAAGCAAGAAGCATTGCAGAGCCTGACCACTTGGCAAGGGAATCAAGCTGCAGCAAAAGACACCTTCTCGCCCCCCAGACCCCTGCAGGCTCCCTCCAGACAGTCAGGCCTGTCCCTCTGCTGCAGAACACATCTCGCATTGTACCAAAGAGGGCACTAAGTTTATTTTTTAAAAGCTGGCTCACTTACTCTGCTGTTTCTCCTTCCAGCAGTTATTTCTGAGGTTTGCAATGTAGTCGTCTTCCACACTCCTCTCCACGTTTTTCAGGTTTGCACCAGTGTACTCTTCTGCAAAGGTGTCAGCTACGTAGTAGGCCACTTTCAAGTGCTCCGTCACTCTCTTGTGTATATGGCCGACAGACCTGGTCGAGAGGACGAGAGAAAAGAGAGTCAAAAATCACTTGAATAAGAAAGGAAGCTGGAGGAAAGAAGAGGTGCATCTTGCCGAATGTGCAAATTACCAAGCCAAAACCCGGGGCTCACTAAACTCTCTTGCCCTTGTAGCCGGCTAAATGGGGCGTGTGTGTTGGAGAAGGGGCTGGCTGGCAGGCCACAGTGTGTGTTTCATGGGCTGTGTTCAGCTTGGTGGGTCACAAACTGCTGGGACTGATTGCAGGTCAATCTGTAAGCAGTGATGATATAAGAAACGTAGACGCTCGTGAGATGCTGTGTCCTCACTCTGCATGAGCCACATTCACAGCCCGGAATACTATCAAAGGGAGAACATCAGTCCAATTCATTATAAATCCATTTGCCATCCAGCAGTACTTTAAAAGAGGAAAATACTTGGAACAAGGATAGCATGTGTGACCTGGAATACAGCAAGGTTACAACTTCCAGTGTCCTCTCCATAGAGGCCAATGTCCTCAGAATATTCTTTTGCCCCGACTCCCTCCCATGCATGTGCAGTGCACTCCCAAGGAGAGTTATACCTTCTAAGTACACTGAAGTCAGTGGGCTCTGAGACTCGTAACTCTGCTGAGGACTGCACTGTTGAAGAAGCATCGTTTACCCTAAAAACAGGAAGCAACAACCACCCATTTGGGACCATCCCATCTGAATCCATTCCCAGTGTGGGTATGAAATGGAACGCAGATGCCACCGGCAGCTGGAGGACCACGGGTCCCACCCCCCCCAATCTGGCAGCCAGTCCCAAGAGCAGCAGTTCGGGTGAACCTGAAATGAGCGGAAGGTTCTGTTATTACTCTGAAAAGAGAAAGGATTACTCCACTAAGCAGCAGGAGAGCCGGCTAAAATATGCTGTCGGAGAGATCGCTTTTCTCAGCAAACACTCTGCCCTAATGGTCAGTGTTTTCGAACACACAAAGGCTGAGCACTAATCCTTTGCTCGGCGTCTCAGGACTTTAATATTAAAGAGCCGAGCAAACCTTTCTTCCCCTAAAAGTCAGGTCCAGCCGCTTCTTGGAAACCACGGCTACTTTTCGCTTCCCTAGTGAATGCTGTGTACACTCTTGGCTTGATGCACTGGAGGACAGTCGTCGTGCCGTGACGTAAACAAGAGCTGTAGCATCGTCCTCCTTAAAGGCTGAGATCTGCACTCTGTACAGATGCAAAGCGCTTGCCCTCTCCTCTGTCCAGGTACAGGGGAACACATGTTGGGGACAATCATTCCATGCACCACGGCATTCATAACATCCAGGCACTGCTGGACCAAGCATCCCACCAGTTTGAAGCCTTCATGGCCACAAGAAAAGGCTTTTAAGAGGGCAAGATGTCACCTGCAGGTGAGGCTGAAGAGTTTCTGCGGGCCAAAGAGGTGGGACTCCATCATTCTTGGAAGTCCCATCAGCCTTGTTCTAGACTGCCCCGGCCCTGGTGAGCCTCTCTTTATTTCCCTCAGGCTTGGAAGGGCTTACCCGGCACCCCCAGGCAGACTCCTACCCCGGCCGGCACTGAGCAGACCTCCCTGGCTTGGACAGATCACACCTGCCCTCAGACTGCTGCCCGAAACAACAGTCCCGAAACCCGGCAGGGGTGGCGCCGCTCCCCTCCTCCCGCTCCGAACAGAATTAGCATCCCCAACATCAAAACAGATGATGATTACAAACATTTGCATCACGCCCGCAAAGTATCGCTGTGCTGATGGTGAACCGCAGCCTGCCTGCACGTCTCGATTGTCATGCCCGGAAGCATCTTCATCTCCCCACATGCCCACATTCTCCTCTTATTTATTTACTTATTTGTTTTGTTCAACCTTCTGCCTAAAGAAGGTTTGTTGCTTGCTGCCCGTCACATTTCAACCCTGCCCTTCCTCCGAGGAGCTCGGGTGGGGTGGGGGAGCGCCAGAAACGGTTCTTCCGATAAAATCCAGGTTTGTTCCAACAAAACTTCTTAACGCTGATTGACTCAAACAGACCAACACGGCCCCCTGCATTTTTACAGGAACAGGTATTCCTGGTGGAGGAATTTGGATTCTCACCTGCGGCAAACCAAAATCTCTGACTGTATCCCCACCCTGTGAATCGTAAATGGTGGCAATTATTAAGAAGGGAATTGAGTCTAGCATGGCAGGGGGTTCAACTTCCTTGGAAGGGGGCTTGTTTGTGCAGGCGATGATTTACAATGAGCATCAGACTGATCCTTTGGAAGCGCTGAGGTAGCTTCGGAAGGCCTGTCTTTGTAGCAGCAATGCTCTACCCTTTGCCAAGACAGCTGCGGAGCTCAGCTTCCCAGATTTTCCTAAACAGCAACGTGTGGGGCTCAAGGCCTAGGCAGCGAGCCACCATCGCCCCCTGCTGGCTGGTCCCTGTGTTTCCGTTTCAATGGCAAGTGCTAGCAGAGTGCATTTTTATTCTGCTGCAGAGGAAGCAGACGGGATTGATGCCAAGAAGTTTATTTGGTTGATGCAGCTAATCTTCCTGTGATGAGCCAACAGTCGAACTGATGCCTTTGGCTTCCTCTGACAGTGTTTTAAATTTCCATCAAGGGGTTTTATTTAGGGGGGGAATATATAGTCTGATAAAAATGGGGAGCTGGCACAAAGTCTGAGAAAAGGGATCAAATCAGGCGCTGCAGCACAAAAGGATACGCTGTGCACTGGAGAGTCCAATTCTCTCCCTGACCCAGGGAACATCACATCGAGTACCAGGATAACATAGCAATGATCCCAAGCTTTGCAAGACACCTGACTGAAGGCACAGACTGCCCCCCCCCGCCCCATTCTGCTGCTACAGGCAAGCCTATAAACTCAGGACGTGCCTTCACTGACGGGCAGGGGTCATTTCGTAGAAAAGGAGGTGCAGGAGCTCATTAGCATAACTCATTTGCATATGCCACACCCCCTGACATCACTGGAAGTGTGTCAGACGGCAACACCCACCACTCAGGCTCCACTGGACTGTTTTGGATTGCTAGCTATTGGGGGGAGGGGGCAACGTGCAGATCTGCCCTCGCAGAGGAGGGAGAGCTTGTGCCTGAATAAAACTTGGTCTTAAAGGTGCCACTGGACTGTTTTGGGCCGGGGGGGGGAGATCTGCAACTTACCTGGCTGCTTCTTGCTCTGACTCAGGGCTACTGGGGGCAGGGGGTGGGGCTTGTTGCATGTGCCCACCCCCTGGGCTCTTTACTGCTGGAGTTCTGCTCCTGTGCGCTCCTGCAGGAAATGACCCCTGCTGACAGGCAACATATTTCTGTTGGGGGGCCCTGCTGGAGACTAACTGGGCCTGGTGCCGTGATAAACACGAGCCTGCCACTCAGGAAAAGATGTGGTGGGCCTAGTTCTGCATCCGAAGGCCTGCCGATCTCTCTGTCTCCACACACACCCCACCCGCCATCCATAATCTAGTTAGCAGTCAGGAGCCTTCAGTTCCACTGACAAACTTTCAGTAATTGCAGCTGATTCCAGGGTTGGGTTTTTTTTGCAGGGATACTACAAGGTTCTTGAAGGTACAGAAAGCCTCTACAAATGCAGTGGCAAAAATCAGTGCTGCCCTTACCTGTAACTGTTATTTGTTGAGTTGTCTCTTGGCAGGCACACACGGGCATTAAAGAAGCGCATCACTTTTCGTCAGTCCATTCTGGCACATTTCTGCTCCCCCAACTGTTCCCTAAACAGTACAAATCGTCTCTCCCAGCCCAGAAAAGCTGCCTTACAAGGGTTAATACAAGCAAGTTTGCATTTGCCTGACATGCAGTTAGGTCCAGGAAGAACCGATGAGTCTGAACAGAAGCAGCAGGCCAGAGAGACTTTGTACAGCACTTTCAACACGTCTTATCAATCTCACTCCAAGAAGGCAAAAAATCATTGCCAAGACTGGGGTGGCAGTGGGGATGGCTGTCTCAATTACCTGGTCAGGAAAGCATTAGAGAGGCACATACAGATGACACGGAGCGTGGAAAGAATCCACCACCTGAATACATTTGCTCTTATTCACTGTACTAACGCCGCAGTGCTACAACTATGTTTCCAGGGCAGGTTTAAAGCCCTAAACAGTTTGGGTCCAGAGTGCTTAAAGATCACTTGCTCCCATACTAGCCTGTCATTTAAGATCTCCCTCTGAGGCCCCTCCCTGCAAAGAAGAGAGGGGGCCTTCTCTGTAGTGGCACCCACACTGTCAAACCTCCTCTCCAAAGATCTGCCTGACCCCTCCCCGACTGAGCAACAGATGCTGGACTAACACATTTTAATCGAGCCACTGGTCTCTCTGTTGCACATCAGTTTGTTATGTTTATTGGCTGCAAGATCTTGTTTTAACCCACTGAGTTGTTAGTTAACAAGTATTTTTATTTGAAGTTAGATCTGATCTTTTTTCTTGGTAAGATGTTTTATTTCACCATTTTCGCTGGTCTCGGAAGCTGTGGCTGAGAGTCTGGAGAGAAATCCTTTAAACCAAACAAATGCGCCAGCAGCTCTCCCCTCCCTTTTCTTGCTCAAGTCCAGAACAGAAGACTTCAGCTGTTTCTCTCTGCCTGCCCCAAGTGAACAGGAAAAGCCTTACGTTACACCTACCTCATCTTGCAAAATGCCCTTTCCAAAGAGCAGAGATGTCACCAGTTGCCCAAAACCTACTGAAGATCAAGCAGAGATACTGCTGGATGAGTGGCCTGAGAGGGCAAGCTGGCACAGAGAACAACAGAAGCACATGCGAAGAGTGATACCTCTAAGGTCTATCTGCAAGCTTCACAATTCAGCATTTCAGAAATTCTGCACTTTGGGAACACGCCGCTGCCAAATCAGAAGGTCTGATCCTGAAATACGAATATCTCAACACATCCCCTAAAGTGAACCTCTATTGAAGGGAATCCGTGCAGCTGAAAATGTGGCATTTAAAATACAACCCATGGAATGTCAAAAAAACACAGAATACAATTCAATTCATAAGCTGAAGTCAAAGAGTTTTCCCCTGCCCTGATTTAGGGCCCTCACGAAGCATCAACAGGCATTGGCTTGAAGTGGAATGGATGCTCTCCCTCTGCATATCTAGCCAATTTGCAAACGTCCCTCTTTCCAACCCACGTAGAACACTCCTGACCGGATAAGAAGACTGATTGTTTGGAGGGGCTGCAGCTCAGAGGCAGAGGCACACACTCTGAACGCAGATGGTTTGGGGCTGAATCCCCAGCTAGCGGACTTCAGTCAGCCTTCCCTGAAGAGCTGCAGCCCAGCAGTACCACTCCTGAGGGACCAACGCCCTGTCTCCATACAAGGCAGCTCCCACGTGTTCTGTAAGCGCCTTGCAACGTTTTACCAAACATATGCTAAGGCCTAGTCGCCCTCTCCCTGCCACACGGCTGGAACGTCTGCCTGTGTTGCAAAACAAAACAGCAGAGAGATTCGTTTGCCCTCCTCCAGCCAGGGAAAGATCATCAAAGAAATACAGCAGGTCCCCGGCAGTGTTCCCTCTAAGCTGAGTTAGTGTGAGCTAGCTCACAGTCTTTTAGCCTCTGGCTCACAGATTTTTTTGTCTTCGCTCGGGAAGGAGGGCTCCAGAGCAAACTAATTTATGCAGCAGCCAAATTGCTCACTCAGAACCTTAATGCCAGTAGCTCACAAAGTAGAATTTTTGCTCACAAGACTCCACAGCTTAGAGGGAGCATTGGTCCCCGGCACGCCGTGAAATGGGCGAGGGTGGGAAGCATCCGAGGGGACTCTGCAGCATCTCTCAGGTTTTACAGATAAGCTCTGCAGCCTTCAAGAATGTGGCACAACCTTCACAAAGATATGTGGCATCCCACGTGACATAAACTTCTTGGCTGGCAACCAGTGTTCCCTCTAAGCTGAGTTAGTGTGAGCTAGCTCACAGTTTTTTAGCCTCTGGCTCACACATTTTTGTCTCAGCTCAGGAAGGATGGCTCCAGAGCAAAGTAATTTATGCAGTAGCCAAATCTCTCGCTCACAACTTTAACGCCAGTAGCTCAGAAAGTAGAATTTTTGCTCACAGGACTCCACAGCTTTGAGGGAGCATTGCTGGCAACTGCCACTCTGAAAACCACTGAAGACACAAAGGCTGATCAGCATTTCAGGCGTTGCTTTCCCCTCTCTCTTTCTACTGTCCCACACAGAAGGTGGTGGAGGAGGAAGGCGCCATCAAGTTGCAGCTGACTTACGGTGACCCCTGGTGGGGTTTTCAAGGCAAGAGACGCTCGGGGGTGGTTTGCCACTAGCTGCCTCCGCGTCATGACCCTATTCCTTGGAGGTCTCCCATCCAAATACTAGCCCGGGCTGACCCTGCTTAACTCCTGAGATCTGACGAGATTGGGCTAACCTGAGCTATCCAGGTCCGGGTACACAGACAGTACTATGGGACAAACCTAGAACAAAAGAGGCACTAGGGGGGAAAACCTAGAACAAAAGACAGATTGAAGAAGCACTCCTCTGAGTCATGTGCTCTGGTCCTGTATCCTTGTCCCTTACGTTTTCTTGTTCCCCAAGAAGTGCAGGTGGCAGGAAGGGAAGCCTGGGCTGACAGCTGGGGAAGGGGGGGTGGGAGACGGCACCCGTCATGGGCTCCGATCCAGCCCGCATGTTGCCACTTGCCAACCCCTAATGCAAAACAAGCACACACAGAGAGGCCCATTCAAAAACAATGCCCTTGGAGCATATCTATTGCTTTTCCGGATATTGTCAGCTTTGCTCATTAATCAGCTGATAGAACTGGTCACTGCACAACAAGAATTTGTTATCTCAGCAATACGACAGCAACCGGCAACCGGTCACATGGCAGAGAAGAAGCCAAACACTGCAGGGGCCCCAGCATTAATTTTTCTCTCAGCATTGAACGACAGCGGAGTCATGAGTCTCAGCTGAGTGCTACTGGGGGGGAAGAGGGAAGCGGAGCTCCCTTCACACCCCTGCTCGGGCGGGAAAGGCCGTTCTGTGCTTCATTCGCTGAACTGTGATCCTAGAACTCTGTCAGCATCATCTCACCGCTAACTTTGCCACCAAACTGTGCCATTTTGTCCTCACCCATAACTGCTTCAGATTTGGTGACAACCTGTTTTTCCAGATCAATGGTACACTGACCACCTGGAACTAACATCATCTCAAGGCATATAAAACAAATCAGCCAGTATCAAAATGCCTCTGTATAAATCTACAGTGCAGCCTCATTTGGAATACTGTGTACAGTTCTAGTCACTGTACCTCAAAAAAGTGATTATAGCAAAGGAAAAGGTGCAGAAAAGGGCCACTGAAATGACTAAAGGGATGGAATGCCTTCCCTATGGAGAAAGGTCAAAGAGGCCAGGGCTCTTCAGCTTGGACAAACAACGGCTGAGGGGTGACATGATAGAGGTTTACAGCAGTATGCATGGGATAGAGAAGGTAGAGAGAGAAGTATTTTTCTCTTTCTTACATTATAAGAACTCGTGGGTGCTCAACAAAATTAATGAGCAGTAGGCATAGAACAGATAAAAGGAAGAACTTCTTCACCCAAAGAATGATTCACATGTGGAACCCACTGCCACAGGAAGCGGTGGCGGCGACAAGCACAGACAACTTCAAGAGGGGACTGGATAAAAATATGGAGCAGAGGTCCATCAGTGGCTATTAGCCACAAGGTACAGATGGAACACTATGACTGGGGCAAGTGATGCTCTGTATTCTTGATGCCTGGGGGGGCCACAGTGGGAGGGTTTCTGGAGTTCCAGCCCTGCGGGTGGACCTCCTGATGGCAACCGGTTTTTGGCCACTATGTGATGCAGAGTGTTGGACTGGATGGGCCACTGGCCTGATCCAACATGGCTTCTCTGCATGTTCTTAAAAAGAAATGCACAAACAATTCCAAACAGGAAATGAAAAGTGATGAAGTATCAGTCAGTGGGTTTCGAAGAGAGTAACTCTGCCTAGGATTGTACCATAAAGCATGTGATGTGATAAGGGATTGACATTTTGCTTTGCAAAACAGCATTCTTATCTAGAATGACTAGTGCAGCCAGACTTCCAAGTTCACAGGAGGCATGTGCCGAAATCGCCTGATCTGAACGTTTTCACCCAAGGATCCTGAGGCTGCACCATCTCTGCTACACAAACGCCTGAACCTTTCCCTTAGCTCGTATCTCAGCAGGCACCAGGTGGTGCCAGGAGGCAAGCGCGAGGAACATACGGAAAGGAAGAAAAACACCACATGGCAAACACCAGAAACTGGCAAAGACCCTCTTTCCTCCCAATCCCCTCCCAGATATCCCAAAAGGCCCAGGCTGAGTGTGCTGAAGAATGTCACCGGAACTCACGGTCTGTGGCTCAGGCTGTACGGTGGACTGGAGACCATCATCTGGCTGAGCGCGGAAACGATGATAAGGATGAGGATAGGCATCAGCTGGACAAACAGCCCGAGGCCACCCTGGGGAGGAAGGGGGGGGACACACACACGATGTCAGTGGATTCACAAAACGGCTCTTCAACTCTCGCACCTCCCAGCTTTCTCCCCAATGGGGACCCAAAGTGGCCTACATTCTTTCCTTCTCTTCCATTTTATCCTCACAACAACCCGGTGAGGTAGGTTAGGATGAAAATGTGACTGGCTCACAGTCACCCAGCAAGCTTCCATGGCAGAGTGGGGATTCGAACCTGGGACTCCCAGATCCTAGTCCAACACTTTAACCAGTACGCCACACAGTGGGAATCTATCCTCACTGAACTCTGGCACGTTCTCCTCCCACACTCTCATTTTCAGCACCTGCAACTTTTCCCAGAGGACTACTACAATAGCCCAGGCTGGCGACCATGTTCATTTTTTTAATATTGTATGCACACACAATATAAAAGCCACTGTATATAAATGCCACCATATTTTGCATGTATGGTATCCACAGGAAATTATGCATGCACGTACTTTAAAAAAAGCATTCTTGTGTATGTGCACAGAATCATAAAGATGAACAATAGCCCCAACGGGAAAACGCGGGATGCGGGATGGGGCCAAGCTGCTAAACTGAGTAGCGCTGGCAACGTGGTCGGAGGTCCGCATCACCAAGTAAAGCATTCTAAGTCAGATCTATGGGCTTGCCTTTTGGGCTGGCAGGGTGCGAACATTCTATCATTATACGGACATCTGTGCTGCCCCTACCCCCACAGACTACTGATTCATTTACTCCGACAGGCAGCGGCTCTCCAGGGCCTCAAGCAGAGAAAGGCCTTTCCCAAATCTTTCTACCTGAGACCTTTTGAGAAATCAGGGAAATGCTCTACACGAGCCACGGACCCTCCATCATTTGCAGAGCGTTTGAGAGCCAGCATGATATAGTGGTTAAGAGTAGGGGGCATGCAATTCAAAAATACTTATCTTTATTAATTCCATATCCTTTTAATGACATTATCAGAACATCTCAGGAAGGACATTATTATTTTCAACAAATATCAGGAGTGTTATTATTGTGCCAGAAAGCCAGGGAAATCTATTTTAATAAATATTGGAATGATACTCCCAGTCAGTGAAAATAGTAAGCATGACCTTCCTGAACTTACCTAAGGAACTTCAAATGATAATTCTGGAAGTGCCTGTCCCCTGCCCCTGAAGCAGGAGAAGCAGGGAGGAAGGGAGGAGGAAGTACAACCCCCAGCTAGTCTGCAGTACACGGCACCTTTAGACTTTGAAGGGCGATTCTTTTCTGCAGGTCAAGACGAGGGATGGGCACAAACAGGGAAAATGGCAGTTCGTGAAGGTCTCATGAACCAGGACAAACCTCCCCTGCTTCACAAACCAGTTCAGGTTTGTGAGGTTCGTGATGTGCCGCGTCTTGCAAAAGTCATTTAAAGGGAATACATTTTGCAAGCCCCACCGCTGCAGTGGCACAACTTACAAGTCAACTCAGAAGGCATTTAAATGCCTTCTGAGTTCACTGATGTGTTGCACTGGCAGGGCTTTAAAGGGTTCCTGTTGCCTTGGGCGCCAGCATGTCTGGCCCACGAACTGCTCCCACGAACCGCACAAACCTCTGTGAAAACTGAACCGGTTCATGGGCAGCTCGTGGGAGAAGTGATTGCACGAACCGAGGTTCGCGAACCATGAACCAGGTCCGGTTTGTGATGAACCATGTCCAGCCCTCACCAAGACCTGGCCTCGGATTACGACTGCTCCTTCCCTAGCTGCTCCAGCTGCCTCCTCCTGAGTCTGACATTATGGAAGTAGAAATGTCCAAATTGGGAACCACTGGAGGAACCAGCACCTGAAATGTTGGGTATTTTACTGGGTTGCCAATATTCAAATTGCACACCCCTAATTATGAGTGTCAGACTAGGATCTGAGGTTAGGCTGAGAACTAGAGACAGGCCTGCTTCCTGGATGAATGCAGGCCTGTTTCTAGTTTTCAGCCTAACCGACTTTACATGATTGTTTCTGTTACGATAAAGTGCACGAGGGGAGAGTAATATTAATCACGGTAATAACATTTATACGGAGAGAAAACATCTCTCTTTGAACAGCTAAGAGCAACACGGCACCCTAGGTCAGTCTGCTACTTTGGAGTGAAGAAGTGATCAAGGTTGGTAAGCAGATCAAGAAGCCTAAAATGCCTGACAGCCCCTCATTATGCTCCAAGGGCTGAAGCCCACATTCTTTCAGATTTCAAATTCTGCGTTCAACAAACTCGGTTGCCAGAGTGAGCTTGAAAACACCTAGTTTGCTAGAAAGATACCAAAAAGGCCAAAGGATTTCTGAAAGCACTCGAAAAGGCACTGGCCAAATTAGGGGTACTGCTTAAAGACTCCAGAGGCCTTGCTGAGTCACAGAGGATGATGCTGGCCCTAGAAGCATCACCCTTTGTGGATGAACAGCTAATGAGTGATGACGCAGAAGCAGGAAGAGCCTCTCCTCATCAAGCACTGGGGAGCCACGTGTACAACTGGGGGAGGGGGAGAAAATGGACCTGGAATTCCAAGCGTCCTTTCCACATCAAAACTGCAACCATTTTTGGAATACGTATTTGATAGATGTGGTAATATTAGCACTTCTGCATACACAAGGCAATTGCTTGCTCATTCTCTCTTCATTCCCCAAAATCTTAGACAATGTGTGTGTGAGAAAGGGGAGACAGCACCCCCTTGAGGTTGCAAAGTGGGGAAGAAACAGGATACAGGAGCATGATGGCACACTGTTTTACTGAGACACTTCTGCGTACCTTAAAACATTATAACCCTCTCCTCCTCATGACTGCAACTTACATCGCCCTGGTGTTCTCGTCTGTCTTGCCTCTGGTGATAGGTATATCGCATCCTGCCATTGCTATATACATGAACGTTACCTGTGGGTGAAAGAGACCCATGAAGACCAGTTGGAAACATCCTATCAGCTAACTAAAGGAGGATACAGGACAGGACACAGGAGCCGCAACACAATGTAAAACATTCCATGCCTGGAATACCATTCCCTCAGGTGACGGACTGCAGGGACAGCCGAGAGGAGAAGAGGGAGAGGCCCGTAATGAATCCATAGCGACAGAAGTAACAGACAGGACTGGTCACAAAAGGCTGCGATGGGAAAACCAGGTTAATTAAACTCCTTGACTTGACATCAGGTTGGATCTTGTGGATCCCCTGTGCTAGAAGTGGCCCTTTTCTCCCCAGCAGGAGGCTCTGTTGTCAGGATCCTGCTCGCTGACTACCTCTCAGAACCTGAACACAATGCATGAAACGTAAGTTCCACGGAGATCAGCAAAGCGTCATGTTAGGTACTGTGTTTAGCACCAGAGGATTTCATCTATGGACAAGGAACCAGTTGACACCTTGGGCTGCCTGTTACTGTTCGGAAAGAAGATCGAAATTCTCGGTTAAACTTCCTCAGCTATACTGTAAAAACATGCAGTTGCTAAAGTGTCTAAACTCTAGCTACGGATGCAGTTCAGACCATGACAGGAATATGTAATTAATCCTGCTTTCAATTTCAAGACCATGATACTGCAGAAGTACGGGGCTACCAGAGAAGTAAAGGGTGCATGCAGATTTTTTTAATCGAAGAGAGCTGCCAACAGTTCCAACTGAAAGCCGTTTGCTCAGGTGGCGATGGCACTCCAAAAGGGATCTTGGATGTTCCCTAATCCCAGTTAATCTCAGCCCTCTCTCTGCTTGCTCCCACCATGCAAATTTCCATGCAAGCTGCCCCCGACGGCTGCCACGAGGCCCCCCCCGCTCCCTCAGCCAAGGGGTTCTCGTCTCACGTGGCTCTCCCCGGCGTTCCCTCCAGGCAGACTCCACCACTCTCGGAGGCTTCCCGTTGCGGGCAGGGGTGCTGCACTCCCAGGATCTTCTTCCTCTGGGCTCTCTATTAAGAGTAGGGCCTGCCAGGGAGACTCAGGTAAGTACGACCCCCCCTCCTGTCCCCCCCCCAAGCCCCGGTCTTCTCTCCCCAAGAGGGCCCTGAAGGCTCAACTCTGCCCCTAGTGCCTTCCCTCCCTCTTGGGCCCCTCTGTCTGCCGCAGCCGCTTTGGGAGACTGTCAGAAGCCAGCAGAGGACCAGCCAGACCTCAGGAAAGGGAAGGTGAGAGTGAAGGACCTTCTAGATGGGTGCCCTTGATCCTGACCACCTCTCGGACTCCCCTTGGCTGGCCACCCGTGACTCCCATCATGTACCCCTCTCTGCCGGGGTCTCCCACAGCCAAGCTCTAAAACATGCTGGGCTACAGAGTTAGCCAATCCGCCCAGTATCACAAGCCATGGAACTAACCGTGGGGCAAGCCAGGTTAAAGGCTGCGACGGCTCACTAATGGGTCAGAGAGCCAAAAGTGCTGGGAGCTGGAGATCAGGGAAGCCATGCATCAGGCTGGTTTCTGGCTTTGCTTGCCTGCAGAGAATTTTTAGCCCCATCCAGTGGACAGCCTGAGCCCTGATGAGAACTTGAGGCTCTTGTCCTTCCAGGGTCTCCCTGCTTCCGGTTGTGTCTAATGCTTAGGATGCACAGGAGATGCGGAGACTAAAGAGCGCACGTGTGCCTGCTGATGTTTCAAAATTGAACATGCACATGGCACTCGTTCGGTACTGGCCTTGGCTTGTTTGTGGATTTAGGCACCAGTTCTGAAGAAACACCAAAAGCCATTCCTGTCTGGCCAAGCTACATGGAGTGTGTTTTCTCAGAGATGAGATGATGCTGACAGCCCTAACATCACATTAGCACACTAACTCCAGTGCACATTCATACAATTCTTGGGATGTTGTATGGGCTTTTGTTTTTTTAATTGCCCTTCCATTTTCCACTCAGCTGCAGACTGCATTAGTAACATAGTGTCTTTTACGCCTTGGGGATTTGTGAATCCGCATTCTGGATTTGTCTGTTACTGATTTCTCTCTCACAGCCGCAGGGCTTTCCCAGTGGAATAAGCTCCAGTTTTATAGCAAGTATCTCCAAAGCAAATAAAGGTTTTGTCAAGGCCTGGCATCTTCTGCCTTTAGGACGGACAATAAAATGCAACAGGGTGCTCTCTCCCACTGGTAAAAGACAAGAGCATTGAGATGTTAATAAGCAGCCACTGTCCAGACAGAAGAAAGCGCCTCTGACAATGTTGTTTTCTGAATTAGAGCAGTCCCTGGGCTGCAAAGCCTCATTTTTGCGTTTCTGGCATGCAAAATGCTGAATTCAAAAGTGGGACACTGCAGAGTTCTGATTCAGCAGCAAAATTAACTCATCACTGACTTTAACCTGGGAAAACCACACACCTCACTGTGGCCAGGCTACTAGAGAGTGGTCTTCATAGTGGCCTATGGCCACAAAGGATCATATTGTAGTTTCTGCTGCTGAACTGGAACTGCATAAGCCAAATTCACATCGATGCAGGGTCTAAATCTTGGTATAAGACATTACAGAATTGAGGGTAGCAGGTCACAGGAAGTGAAAGGCTATACTACATCCATGAAGCTTTGAATATGCAGGAATGGTCAAACCTCCCCCCTCCCCCCGCCTGAAGGAGTAAAACCCGGGAACAATTTTTACCGGCTCACCTGCTGGCTGCATGAACTAGGCCCGGAAGTTGCACTTTGAGGCCCACCGAGCCACTTCCTAAGACCTGCCACCTTTGCAAAGCTGAAACTTAACTAAAAGAAGCAGACTTTTTAGTTTTTATTCCTGGCAGATTCTCTGAACCAATTTAGGTGACCAAAGAAGCTGAGATGTGCAGAGAAAGGACCATGGATTGGACCAATGTTCCCTCTAAGCTGTGGAGTCTTGTGAGCAAAAATTCTACTTTCTGAGCTACTGGTGTTAAAGTTGTGAGCGAGAGATTTGGCTACTGCATAAATTAGTTTGCTCTGGAGCCCTCCTTCCTGAGCTAAGACAAAAATGTGTGAGCAGAAGGCTAAAAAACTGTGAGCTAGCTCACGCCAACTCAGCTTAGAGGGAACACTGGCTCCAGGTTTTATTCTCCCAGCCAGGTGCCTTCAGGCCTCAGTGACGCATCCACTGGAATTTGCCACACAGACCACAGAGCACTACGAACAGAGAGCAGGCACCCCACAGCAAACGGTCCTGAAGAGCCTACAAGGGACCCAAAGCAAAGGAGCCAAGCCACATGATGCAGGGGGCGGCAACCGCTTTCCAACCCCACACCTTCCAACCACATCAGATTTGACCTTCCTGGCCCTGACTACAATGGTCAGTCATCATCAGAAGGGAAAACACTGGGGAACTCCACACCTCCCTCTGCTGTGAGCTCTAGCAGGCAAGAAGGGAAGCCAGCGGCATCTCCGCTCAGCTTGCCCGATGCTCCACTGGCAGGCGGGAACAGCTCCTCCCTCTCCTGTTGGCTGTGCTATCGGGGAAGAAACGCTTCCTCTGAGCAGCCTGCTGGCCCTCTGGGGATTCCTTTCCATTCAAGAGCTTCCTTTCCAGCTGGAGGGTGCAGATGTGCAACTGTGGCCCATCTGAAGGATGGAGCTACTTTAAGTCATGCACTTCTGGTCACCTTTAAGGATGTACAGGTTGACTGGGTAGGAACCATCTCCATTTTTGGAAGGCTAAACAGGAAGGGGAAATGCTACCTCCTCGAAACTGGCTCCCCCACGACCCTCCAAAAAGACTAACTTGGCTATAAAGCCGCCTAGGGACTACCACCAGGTCTTCCCATCTCTGATGACGCTATTTGATGACAAGTCTGGTGGGCTGCTTGTCTAGCAGGTGGAGTCCTGAATCTCTATTAGCTTTGCAAGCCTAGGACCTTTCGATCAGGATGGGACAAACAGGGTAATCTCCACTTATCTACAGTGCACGAAGGTTCTGGCATGAGAATGAGGAGAAGGGCTGGTTGAGCACCACCCTCCCCGTCCCCCAGCATGTGCGCCCCCCTCCCCCATCCACCACTTCCAAATGGATTTAAAACAATTGGCTTACTAGAAGGAAAACCACCACCAAAGAACATATTGAAGAGGTCCTCGGGGGAAATGTCGGCCTCGAACCCTCGGTGGAAGTCCGGAGGGCCGTGTCCATGCCGTGTGGGGCTGACTTTGGCATCTCCGAACTGGTCGTACTGCTTCCTCTTCTCCGGATTGCTCAATACTGCGTAAGCGTTACCAATGGCTGAAAGGGTAGCAAGAAGAAAAGAGTCAGTTTTTTCCCTGCCCTACAGTCAACAGTTAAATCAGGGATACAGTAGCCAAGAGATGAAGCTGTTGAGTTCCCAGTTCAAACATTGCCTCATTAACTGGGTTAATTCATTTATTATTGTATGACATTGTGTGTGGAATAGCCAGGAGATCCTAAGATTGTCTGGCAGCCAGAAGTTCTAGCTCTTTAGTGTTATGAACCACTAGGTGGCGAGCTAGACTTGTTTTTTTAAGGTAAGAGACATTTCAGAGGTGGCTTGCCATTGCCTGCCTCTGCGTCATGACCCTAGATCAGCAAACAACTCTTCCCACTTCAGCCCACCCACCCCTCCATCTGCAGAATAGGGATGTTCACCCAGACTCAACTTACAAGGGGGCTATAAAGATTACCAACATAACATATGTGACATGTCTGGACAGAGCATAGGTAATTGCTATAAGAAGAGCAGATAATAGCAGCCACTCTTTCAGTTCTCGGGTAGTAAAGATTTATGACCTGATCCAGCTTCTTCAAAAGCCAAGTCCTCATTCTAGACGAAAGCATTTCAAAGATACATGCAAACTGAAAGGAAGACTTGGCCATCTGAAGCAACAATCCAGGCCTTTTGCCGAATTCATGTATCCTCTTTGTCACATGACAACAGCTTGGGGCACAATGATACAACCTTTAGAACCGATCGTCCATGCCTGGAGTGGACCAATTTAGACTGCCGGAGGGGGAGCAAATGTAATAATCTTCTCTCACATGAGGGGAAAAAAATCCCTGCCCACAGAAAACTATCATGATAAGGAGAAGCTCTCTTCCTAGTTTTGAATGAACAGGGAGGTTTTTTAATTTTGGCTTTATTAGAAGGGAGAACTCAGATGCCGGATTCCCCCTACCCACTCTCTAAAGTGGTCTGGTTTCAACAAGATAAAGCCAAATGGAGCTACGGATTCTTTATTTTGTTCCTTACCCCAAGATGAGTGAGAGTTCAAGCTGGGAAGCCAGAAAACTCCTCTGCCTCTTAAAATGTGAATTTGCCTTCAGTGAACTTGTACCAAAAGGAAGTTCCTCTTGGCTGGAGTGCTGGATTAAAAGCCGGGAGAGCTACATTCAGATCTCAGTTCAACCACAGAGCTCATTTCAGGCCTCCTCAGCTTGGACCAGTCACCCTCTTTCTATGATTTAAAGGACACAAATGGAGGCAGGGAGAATCATCTGTGCCTGCCTGAGGAAGGATAGAATAACTATATTATTAGTACGAGAATGAAGTTTGAATCAAGTGGCACCTTTAAGGCCAACAAAGTTTAATTCTGGGTAACAGCCACCATTATGCCCAGAATTAAACTTTGTTGGTCTTAAAGGTGCCACTGGAATCAAACTTTGTTCTGTTGCTTGAGGCCAACATGGCTACCCCACCTGAATCTACATTATTAGTAGTATTAGCATTAATATTACAGCAGAATAACATGTAGCTAAAGAAATAATAATAAAAGAATAATATATAGCTAAAGAGAATCACATCCATCCACTGAAATTATAATTACTTAAAAGGCCCTTTAAAACCCATTATGTTTAATTTCCTTCACATTCTGGGCTTTTACCGCGAACTTCCAATTTATTTCCCTCTTTCTTTCTTAACATGCATAGACACACACACACACGCACACACCCCCATAATTCACCATATTAATTATTCTGCTGATCTACCTGCACATTCAAAACCACGCAAACACCACATAAAACCTGAAAATTTCCCTGGAAAAAATCACTTTCACCAAATGACACAGGGAAATGCAACCAAAGCCAAGCTTAATGTATTCCAAAAGCTGTGACAGAACTCAGGTAATGAAATAGAAGTGTTTTGGGTCCCAAGGCAACCTTAAGCAACGCTGGGACTGGGCGTAAAAAATTCTGCACCCAGATTCAAGTTGCTGTCCTCAACTCATCTCTCAGTGACCAAAGTATATCTCTCCCCCCCCCCCCCGGTTTGGACAGAACTATTTCTCAATTCCGTTTGCTCCTTCTTCCAGGAAACCACTGTACTGGACTCCACGTCTTGCCCCACAGTTTACTGATGATTCAGTAGCAGGATAAGATGAAACATCATTGTCGACAATCCCACAGCTTCTTCTTGAAGCCCAACTAGAAGGGTGAATTCACAATGGCTTGCGCCCTCCCCTCACTTTCAGCAGAAGGGGGCGATTTCCACCACTTCTTCCTCCCACTGCAGATCCCCAACTTTGCCTCCACCGTGTGACGGTCCCCTGGCCTCCTGATCAGAGTCCCTGTGGGGGAGGGGGCTGGGGAAGTGGGGTATAAATATCTAAATACAATAATAAATAAATGTAAAATAAATTGGGGCTGGCTTGCTGTGATTAAAGCAATGCTGTACTTGGAATGTAAAGCATTATACTTAAGCATTCAGAATGTATAGAAATGCCATCAGCAGCAATGTCCCAAAGTTGTCAGGTTCACATCTTTCTCCCAAAGGTACATGCTTGTATAATAATACAATATTAACAGTTTAAATGCAACAGGAATGCTGAGCAGCAGCAAAATCTTGGACAACCAGAGACTGGAGATTAACCACCATGAATGGGTATCTGCTGGCTTCCCTGTCCAAGACCAGAATGGATCCATGTGCTGATCCAGCAAAGCAATTCTTATATTTTTACATGCCTAGACCAAGGAAGTTGAGGAGCATGATGCATTTCAAACGAGGCCCAAAGTCACACTGTCAGCTGTCACGAAGAGACAGAATGCTACAGCCACCAGTTGACATCAACGGCAGGATAATATTAACCAAGACATTTCCAAAGAGCAGCCAGGTCTCTTTCTGATCTCCAAAGGCAAAGAGAGCAATGCCAGTGGGCCTTAGTGGGCTAAAATGAGGAGTGTAAATGGAACCGGGTCAAAGATTACCTCCTGGAAGAGGATAAAGTGTAGCTGCCACATGCTCCCATTTGGACTTGAAGCTCTTTCTAGAGCCATCAGCAAATACAATCATTTAAGTCTACAGATGAAGAAACCTGCCTTTTGCCACTCTGAAAAGACAGAAGGACAAATGTGCTGCAAGGTCTTGTGGTAGATGGTGCTAGATGGTGAAATGTCCAGACAAAGGCAGATCTAATCTAGTTTTAGCACCTAGGAAGGAATGCAAAAGATCACCAGAACCTTCTTCTGTCAACTGCAGCAAGGCTTACAAAGAACCAGACTACCAATTACAGAGTTTTGCTAATTTTTTAAACAATCCAATGACCTAGAGGTCTTAGGCAGAACCAGTCTCACAAATACCACCTTCTACTTCCATCCGTAGATCGAACCACTCTAGCCAGTAGTATACAATGGAAACTAGAGTCCTTCGTGTTAGGGCTAATGGACAATTGGTTGGAAAGAAGTCATGGAACTTTATTTCTATATATGACTACGGCAGCAAGAATATTATACGCACAGAAACTGAAGTGTCCGACAATACCTACAATAGAAGAATGGTTGGAGAAGATGTTGAACCTTGCAACAATGGCTAAACTTACTGCGTTGGTTAGGGAAAAGACAATTTGTTTATTACAGATTGGAAAACCCTTATAGACTTTTTGCAGGAAAAAGACAATAATGACTTGATGATTTGTGGTTTTGATGATTAAGATATTAAGGTACAAAGAAGAGGGTTCTTTATTCTATATACAGAGCAAGGAAAAACTTTGTAATCAAACTTATATTTGTTGAAGAGAAAACTGTATCTTTTTTTCTTTTATTTTCTCAATAAAAAAATTAAAAAGAAGAAGAAGAAGCTACTCTAGCCAGAAATTAAGCCACAAACAAAGTTACGCCAGAATCAGTATCAGCTAGCAGGAAAGACACAGAGGCAAGGGAAGCGTCCAGAAACTATCACTAGTTGTATACAAAGGTCTCTCAGGGGGTGGGCCCAACACACAACCAAAGAAAATATGAGATAAAGTTTCAGTCGTTTGATAGGGAAACTGGGGCATCTGCTTGACTGGCTGATTATTCTACTTCCAGGAGAGTGACTTGATCCAAGAAGATCTTGGAAAATACATGTCTTTAGATTTTTCACATTTTATTGCCCAACCCTCTCCAGGGCAATCTCTGGAGACCTACCAGTGTTCTATAAGAATGGACAGCATCACCCATACAGAGTAACAGAGGGGTCCCACTGGCAGCTAGAACAAGGACATGAGGACTCACCGCTGATAAGGATCCTGCAAGGTCATTAATGGAGACATTAAACAGGAAGGGAGTCAACAGGCACTCCCCCAGACAGAGGGACGTCCTTTGCTCCTTGAGGCCACAAGGAACACAAGCAGTAGGATTACTGCACAGTCACTGTATTAAATACAAAGCTGTGTGATTGATGGAGGTTGCATAAAGTTTGGTCCCCAGATGCTCTCTACCTACAGAGTCAAACACTCCCCTCAACTCTCCTCTTACATCAAATGAAAACCAAGCACACAGAGACTTTTAAACATTGAAAAACAATCTGCTTTCTAGCACATAAGACATTCTCTCCTCTGGCGGTTTGCATCAGCCCTGATCACGGGGCGCTTGCTGCTTACTTCTCACAGCTTATTCCCCCTCAACTATGCTGAGTCTGCATGCTCGCTCGATTTGATGCCCTGCTGTCAGCGGTCCCGTCTGGGAGATTTGCAAACATTCCTCCTTATGGAAGACTCTGCCCATGCAGAGGAAGGAAACCTGAATCGGTAGCTCATATTTTACTCCACTGTGATTTTTATGGAAAAGGGCGGGGCTCCATAATCAGCCCCCTGTTGTTTAATCGTTACAGACGATCTGAAGAGAGGTTAGTTTTCTTTTTATTATCCGACTGGTGTTCCCAGATTATATACTCTGTGGCAAGGTATCTTTCAATTGCTATGATGATGAGGGAGCATAAGATTAAATCTCTTGCCGGGCGACCTTTTATTGCATTTTCAAATCTGAGGTAGCATTTCAATCTGTATTCTTTGCTGTATATTTTTAGGTATGCCAATGAAGGTACTGAAATGGAAAACAGAATCAAGCACAGCCTTTAAATCCATAAAGTGTACACAAAGCACACCCTCTGGGCAACCCAGCTACCACTCTGCCAAGCGGAGAAGAGCCAAGCCACGACTCAGAGTCGAGCGCCCTCCTCTGGCATCCAGCCGGCTTCTCTCCCCAAGAGGCCCTCAGTCTCCAGCCACAGAAACAAATCACAAGCATAAAGTTTTCATGCTCAAAAAGCTGACAGCTTCAAATAATGCTGAACACATTCTGAATAACTGAACCTTCACTCTCTGATCCTGATTGTCACATATCTAATTCTGAACTAGTTTGCAGAGTGCAAATTTTTTAAAAAATCCACGCAATGGGGCCACCAACAGATAGGGGAGATGTTCCTGCAAACCCTGAAGAAGGCTAAAGTTTACAGAAAAATCTGAAACCTTTAAAAAGTCCTCAAACGCTGGTAAAAAAACAAACACACAAATCAATGTCTGCACAAGTTTAGATGGTGTATCTTTTAAAAAATATCCTGACCAAGATCTCAGTGGTCCTTTAAGGGTTAAGTACTTGGCCATCCCAAGCAACATTCCCAAGGCTTTCATGTCTTAGTGTCAGTCAACCGGGGAGGGGGGGGGGGACTGCGAAAGGACAAAAACAGAAGATGTGAAAGAGGTACAGGAGGTAGAGCTGAACACCAGGGTAGACAAAAAAAAGTGGATGGGGGGAGATGGGAGAGCGAAAGAAGAAGCAGGGAAGGCAGCATGGGCTGCCAGGAGGGGGTTTAACATGAAAAGACCCAGTCAGCTATAGTTTTTATTTCCATGGCCCACAGACAGAGTCCAAGGCAATTAGAGCTCATCAAAGTTCAAAACGGTCATGTGAAGTGGAGTTCCTCTCTGCTGAGAACAGATCTATGCTGGATCAATTTTTATGCACAAGAACTTCATCTGAATCACTTAGGTGTTACAGTCTGACTGTTGTACACACAGCTAGAAGATGTATTATAAAAGGCACGTGCAAAACAAGCAAGCTTGTCTCTCTCCTGTTCCAGTTTAATGGAATGACGATCAACCTCCATTAACCTCAGCCAAGAATATGCTCACGCCCCATCAGATGTTCCCTGTCTCCCCTCAACATACCATTTTCACAGCACCAGGCAATGACTCACGGAACAGAAGCCACGCCTTACCTTTAAAGGCCTCCGTAGCACCTGGTGCATGATTCTTATCGGGGTGAAATTTCAATGCTAATTTCCGGTAAGCTTTTTTCAGGTCCTCATCGGAGGCGTTTCTGCTTACTCCCAGAATTTCATAATAGTCTTTACATTGCTTTACCCTAGAAATCAGAGAATTGATCAGACAGTGGTTGTTAATCTGAGACAGGTAAAGCATCTATTGTCCATTCCCCCCTCCCCCCACTGCTTAAAAGACAAGCTAGTCCACCCTCTGGTTTCACTGTGGCTGGAGTTGAAACAATGGTGTCGTGTCACTGGCCAGGACATCCATTCAAAGATGTGCAGTGGTGTCACTAGGCCAGTCACCCAGATGGACCACACTCACTCAAGGCAAGCAGCTTATCTCCTCCTCTCGGGCACCAAGTGGCCAACTGCATTCTGCCCTAGGAAGGGCACTCTCTCTCTCTTCTAGCCTTAGAAGTCCGGCTACCACCTGAAGTTTAGAAGAGAGTGAAGCAGGAACCTGTGGTGCACCACTGACCTGTACTGAAGATCTCAAAGACCCCCTCAAGTCATGCTTCTCAGATGGCATGGAACTCAGGTCTCCTTCTAAAGTTATTCTACTTTCTGAATCACAACCCGCCCCCACCATCTCCCTACTGGCAACCAGTTCTATAGCAGGCCAAGCACATAAATCCACACACAGACCTGGCCATGGGCAAATTTCCCACTTTGCGCACAGGGGGAGTCTGTGTGGCAGGACTCCAAGCCAACGCCAGCATTAGGGAAGGGCAAAACAGCCAGCGGGGGAAGGAGGAGAAGCCGCTGGGGCCAGCCAGAACATCTAATACGTCCATGCTTATGGCTGGCTTACGGCATCTTCGGCTGTGTGGGGTGTCTCTTGCTCTCCTGGCTGCAAGGATGCTCCGGGACTTCATGGCCTCCTGCTCTCAGGAGCTTCATAAACCCTGGGGGTGAGGGGAGCTGCACACAGTCTGTGAGCGAGAAGAGGCGGAAGCAGAGCTCCTGTACTGTACCAACAGAGCGGCGCGAGGGGGCAGAGAGGCAAGAGAGGAGACCGGGAGGAGGAGGAGCAGCAGCAGAAGATGAGGGGACAGGCAGACGTTTGCTAAATCAGCTTCGGAAAGGATGCAATCTCCCAAGCCATCTCCACTTTGGGGGGCCTGGGAAAACAACTGCTCCTGTCCACTGATTGGTTACTGTGGGCATCTGATGCGTATCTGCATGGAGGTTGCTCCTCCCCCTACCCTGAAGGATTTCCTGCACAAAAACATAACACTGCAAAGCTGGACCCCACAAACCTCAAGCACACGACTTGCTGGAAAAGAACCCAGGCACAGCAAAGCAGCGACACATTTCATGGGTACACAGCAGAACTGGATCCAAGGAACTGTGAGTGGCACTTCCGACCTAGAAAGGGGGAGGGGGTCCCCCCACCCCTCCCTTCGTATTACAGCCGACTGAAAAGCCACTCCTGAGACTCAGGAGTCCCTTGGGAGCAGTGAGGGAGGAGGAGGTGCAGGTGAGAGTCATCTATTCCTTTACGCTTGAGCAGCAGTGTCTTTCGGTTTGTGCAACCACACACACTTGAAATCCAAGCCTCAGCTTGGGAAACTGGTCCTTCCAAGAGCAGCCAGTTCCTGAATCAATCCAGGGAAATTGCTGCCCCCAAGTGGCCCAAGCCTGCACTGCACTAAAGAAAAGTCCATTTAGGAAATGGCTTAGCGCTTTTGCCACACTTTCAGACTATTGCAATTAGCTTCGGGAAAATCCAGGCCCTGCAAAGAAATACGGTGGCTGCATTTTGAGCAAAAAGGTACACGAGGCTACCTGATCTCACGTGAAGGAGTGATCTGATTCTTATTCTAACCAGATGGAAGAGTACTGAGGGTACCTTTAAAAATATATGGCTGTTCCATTAGAAGAAAGCAAAACTTAAGCCAGACAAAGCCTACAGGTACATGACGCAGATCTCTTCTTGAAGGCTGAGAAGTCTGGCTCTGAGCACAGCCAGAAGGAGAGGCTGTCTGGGAATCAGAGGTAAGCTGCTGCAAGTTATTTGCAGGAAGAACATGGTAATTGCATCCACATGCACCATAAATTAATACAACACGCCCAGTGCTCAGACACATGACCCCTAAAATAAAAGATAAAGCCCGTCCAGCTCATAATCATGGCATAGTCCTAAAGACCAGCTGCAAGTTTAGAGAATAAAGAGCCTCTGATGAATCAAGGCATGAAAGAAGTCCCAAAGGTGCCCCGAACGCCACCCAGAATGCACTGTCTCGCCTCTGGTTGAGCCTCCTGGGACGGATGGGACCTGGGTCCAAGCACAAGGGTGGCTGGCATGAGGCACGGCCTTTCCGCCAATAGTGCCCTCATTATGAAACAGGGCAGGTTTGCTGGCCAGGTACATTCTGACAGAATCTGCCCTTGCGGCTTGCAAATGATTGATAGCCTTCCTACATTTTGCTTGAGTGCCCTATGTTTGCGGCTCTCAGGAACCATGACATTATGCCCCTATTAAGCAACCACTTACCCCCCTATTTTCTGGGAACAGTTCTCTTCTTACTCAATAATTAAAAAATTACATTATGGTAAATATGTATCAATCCTTTCATCTCCTGGTTCCAAACAGAATATCTAGACATTTTCTGCTGCTCAGGATTCTATATCTATGAGCATCTAGAGTTGAAAGGAAAGAAAACTCTCTTCTCCGAGCAGTTCAACGAATCTGCTAGGCACTGTTTTTTTTCTGGAGGCCAGGCAACACTGTTTTGTTCTGGCAAACACTGCTTTGTTCAAAAACGCTATTTGGAAAAAATGTTTTCCCTCAGATGGTATGGGCAGTTTGTGCTGCTGCTGGTATGGTGCGTGTGTTTCACTTGCCTTGAGTTGTTCTTTTGAATTCACGTACTACCTTTTATGGGATGTGTTACTACTGGCCTTTTTTATATGACGTAAGCAGCCCTCTGTGCTCTCTTGGGGGTCATGGGGCATCAAGTCACAGCTGACTTGTGGCGACCCTGCGGGGTTTTCAGGGCAAGAGATGTTCAGAGGTGTTTTGCCATGGCCTGCCTTCGCAATACAACCCTGGCATTCCTTGGAGGTCTCCCATCCAAATCCTAGCCCAGGGCCGACCCTGCTTAGCTTCCGAGATCTGATGAGATCAGGCTAGCCTGGGCTATCCAGGGATCGGAAAGTTAGCATCAAATGCAAAAATAACAAAAGACAGACACACACACCCCCAGCGGTAGAATCGGCTGCTCTTAAATCTCACGAGGGTGAACAGGGAGATTTCTCAGGTAAGCATGCCGATATCCTTTGTGTTGCATTTATGACTACACTGTATTCCAAGCTTCCTTCCCACCTCCAATAAGGCCTGAAAACAGTTACCACAAGACCACCAGAGAGCCTGGCTTACTGACAGTCAAAGTTTAATCCAAAAGCGCTTACCTCTTAACCGCATCTACCTGATCTGGAGTGTAACCTTTAGTAGTGTCTCCACCTGCCTCTCCATTGGCAGAAGGAAATTCGCCACTCATTTTCCTGTGGTTGGGCTTTGTGGATTCCTTGGGCGGGGAGCGGCCATTGGAGGACTGCTCATTCCTAATGAGAGAGTCAAGCAGCACTGCAAGGAAGAAGAGACAGTGGTGAGTCAGTTCAGCATAGTTTCAGTATGTAGTTTCCCTCTTCCAAGTTTCCATTTCTGCAACTGTCCGCCATCAAACGTTTTCATATTCCTCCGGGTGGCAGAAATTTTTACTCTCCTGTGTCGAGATAGAAGCCATATGATATAAATCACTGACGAGAAATTACTCCAGGCCAATAAATTAATCCTCCCTTAACAGTCTTGAATTTGTCTGTGGGATCATTTTTGATTACAGACTGAGCAGCAAGATGAAAATTGGGGCAAAAGAAGAGTTCCTGGGGAATAAGAGACTGGGGATAAGGGAATAGACAAGCAATGCTACAGGCAGAGTTCGAGAGTCCCTGCAAGCACACAGAGACCCCAAGCAACAGAATAGGACTGCAACGCTCTGGGATCCCTCCTTATACTCGAGACCAGAAAGTAAACAGTGCTGCAAAATGTCCTCCCCTTCCTGAAATCACAACAATTGTAAAGATATTAAAGTCATACATTAAAAATAAAGTCTCATAATTTGTGAACTCTAGGCAATATTCAATAATAATAATAAGAACAACAACTCAGAATTAATGTTCTCAGATACCCACGATCATGCTAACTCTAACAAGGTTTTGTTGGTATCATCAGTTATGCAGACGAAACATCTCCTCGATGCGTGCCCGCTTTTGGTTGGGTATGCAAAGGATAAAACCAAAGCCAAAGCCCCTGACAACTATGGTGAACTGGAGCTCCATAGAACTTTTCAGCCTTACTGGCATTCAACAGAGAAAAATATCTAGCACGTGCGAAGAGTCAGTGCAGAGATACGTCTTGCTATATACTTGCCACAGACTACTAAAGCACCATGTGCAAAGGGAGCCCAGCATCTCCTTTGGGTGAAAGAAAACCCCCAACTAGTTTAGTTATCAGCAGAATCCTTTTTTGATGAAAAGCACACAGGATTGCAAATGCCATCAAAACTCACAGGGGCAGACAGGATAACTCAAACCACTAAGTCAACTGTTAATCCCATATCTGGAAAGAGCATGAACCTGAAGAGCAAAAGCACCACCAAATCCCAAATATTCACTTACAAAACTCCCAATTAAATGCAGACTTTAAAAAGCGACCCTTCCAAAAGTGTGGTCCTACCCTTCATAAGCCACTTGGGCCAGTCACAGGCCTAGTTAGCCCCACCTCCACTACCCGTACACAACAGGCAACATGTAATAGCTGAACATGGGTGGAATGGTAAAGCAGAACACCTGCCCCCCCCCACTCTCCCCAGCAAGCTTTGACCCACCCCCTTTTTTTACAGCACAGTAACACACTAGATGACATAAAGCAGGTGAATCATATGTGGTGTGACTTGGCTGGGGGGAAAAGCTCTCCCCAGCCCCCATTCCTCTCACTGCTTGCAAGACTAGAGATGGGAAGGCCTGGAAAAAACCCGCAAAAATTCGGGGGGGAAAACGTTTTTTTCCTGAAGACTTTTTTGTTTTTTTCCGAAAAATTGGAAAAATTGAAAGAAGAAAAGAAAAGATTAAAAATTGATTATGGAATGTTTTATTTTAACATGATGAATAAAATATTTTAAGACAAGGTGTTCAAATATTTTCCAAATCATTTCTAAAATATATATATATATGGTATCAGAGCGATCTAATTTCTGTGCACTGAGGACAAGCAAGTCCTAGGTTACAAACTGAACTCTCCAATGCAAGAACAAGATGCATTTCTTCCTTTAGGAGGTGCGATTGTCAGAAGAAAATAAAAAAGTGTCAGTTTTGTTTTTGCATGTGGTTGGGTATTTTGTTTGTAATAATTGTTTGGATACACAATATTTTTAATATGCTAGTTGTGATAATTTCATGCCGAGTAAAAATGTCCATAGTCATATTTTATGTTCCTAAAGTAACAGAATGACTTTCCATCTAGAAAAGACAAAAGAAATGCTAATGTAGCATTTTTTTCAATTTTTCCAAAAATTTCCGTTTCCCCCCGGAAAAACCCCAGAAAAAACCCGGGTTTTTTTCCGAGCTTCAAAATTTCCGGAAATTTTACATCTCTATGCAAGACATTGTTTTGATGCAGTATTTAGAACTACATCTTCACTGCATGGATACCACTGGACATGACAAAGAGATTTTGTTAAGACTTCATGGCAACAGGCACGGGACAGAATCCTTTATGCAAAGTCCAAAAGCAACTGCAGTTGTCAATAGCATAGCCTGGTACACTTTGGACTCTCGAGGAGCAACACACCTCAAAACAAGAAGACAACAATGGAGGAGGAGGAAGAGATTGGATTTATACTCAGAGTCTCAGAGCAGCTTACAATCTCCTTCCCTTCCTCTCCCCACAACAGACACCCTGTGAGGTAGGTGGGGCTGAGAGAGCTCTCAGATAACTGCTCGAGACAACAGCTCTGAGAGAACTGTGGCTGACCCAAGGTCACCCAGCAGCTGCATGTGGAAGAGTGGGGAATCAAACCTGATTCTCCGATTAGAGACCACACACTTAAACCACTATACCAAACTGGCTCTCAAGTTGTTAATCACACCCGTACAGAAAATCTATTGCTTAGGCTCTCAATCCAAGCAAGATCACTTGCTTCAAGACAAAGTGCCCATAACTCTCCAAGAAGCAGAGCTGGGAGGTACAGCATTTCTCTACAATATGGAAAACAAGATGTTCATGCTGTTTGGTTGACAGACTTTGAACATTTTATGACTGCAGCAGTACAATACACAGTCTATATGACACCATATTTACCAATGCTTCTCTACAATATGGAAAACAAGATGTTCATGCTGTTTGGTTGACAGACTTTGAACATTTTATGACTGCAGCAGTACAATACACAGTCTATATGACACCATATTTACCAATGCTTCAACTCAAAAGCGATGCATCTTTTACCCTGATTTACTTAGGTTCAGATGGGTAGCCCTGTTGATTTGAAGCAGCAGAACAAAGTTTGAGTCCAGTGGCACCTTTAAGACCAACAAAGTTTTATTGAAGGTATCTGTATCTGAGGAAGTGTGCCTTGCCTACGAAAGCTTATACCTTCAATAAAACTTTGTTGGTCTTAAAGGTGCCACTGAACCCAAACTCTGTTTTCCTGTTTTACCTAGAAAAGTAGGCTTGAACTCCACGTGTTCAACAGAGGGTCATGAGTTCCATTTTAAGAAACTGAAAGTGTTTGTATTGTGTTCAAATATAATTTCTAAAGAAAATTTCGCGTAAATGAAGGCCACAATGCAGCCACAAATTATGCACTTAAAAGCCCTGCTGACGTCACTGGGAAACAGTTCAGCATGTGAAAGACTATCCCACTGAAAAGCATGGGAGGGAAAAACTGGGCTCCTGAGAGCCACCATCACACCCACACACCCCGAATCCCTTCTGCTTTATCCCTTCCAGCTAGCACAAAGCTTCCCAGCTCCCAAGATGTTGCCCAAAAGCAGTCACATATGTGATGACATAAGGCCATAGGAGTCTGCTGTGTCATAGGGCTGACTGAGCCAGAGGGTAAGAACGACAGGTGATCCCCCCCTTTTGTCTACACAACTAAAACAGTTCAAAGCAAGAACTCGTTTCGTTGGTCAGCTTTAAAAAACCACTCAGATTCATTTACAAACATTCTCTGGCACCTGGACCAAATGGAAATAAACATAACTGGAAGAGCTCCTGAAGGCAAACATCCAGAATGCCCTGTAAATTGAAACAGATAAATGGGGGGGGGGAATTCCCCCAAATAGACTGGCTTTTCGATCCCACGTGCTCACCGTGGCGTAGCTACCTGCAATGATCTGAAGCGATTAGCACTGATTTATTGGCACAGTAAATCTTAAAAGGCTGCTTCAGAGGGCTGAAAAACATTGAACAGGGGTACCACTTACTGAAAGAAATCCTGAGGGAAGGTAACTGTGAGGAGACGTTGGGACACATTGAGGAATTTCAGACAGGCGATATATTCCGGTTCAGCCGGAAATCACCCGCGTAGGCAAAAAACGGTAGGACAAAGCGGGACAAAGCAGTGCAGTCTGAAATGGCAAACCGCTTCAGATCCAGCTCTTTACCAGTAGGGGAAAGCCATGTGTTAAATGGCAGCCCTATACCGGTTTACTCCACAATGGAACAAAAACGGCTTCAAACCAGCTTAAAAAGGGTAATGTGAAATTCCTCATTGTTAAGGAAGAACTTCCGTGTCTGCACTGTGATTGGGAAGAAAGATATTTGTAAGCAACTAGCCCAAAGTAGGTGTGCTCTGAAAAGTCAGTGGCAAAGTGCAAAGCGGAACACTGATGGCACAGGAAAAGGGAGGCTGAGACAGACCGCAAGGCAGCCTGAAGGGCCAAATAAAAAAAAACAACATTATTTATTGTAATAATATCCCCAACCATATTTAGTCAGATGAGCACATGAAGCTACCTTATACTGGGGGAGACCACTGGTCTATCAGGGTCAATACTGTACACTCTGACAGAATCTAAGGTAGAGAATGACTTCTGTAGTGAAATGACACGTACTACCGCTATGTGTGGCTTCTGTCTACCTTCAGATCCTTCATATCACTTACTACCTGATCCTTTCATGTGGAGATGCCACTGACGCTGTGACCTTCCACATGCAGAACAGATGCTCTATCACTGAGTCCCAGCCCTTCCTGAAGGTGTCTCCAGGAAGTCCACCAACAGGGCACAGAGACAACAGCCTCCATCACCCCAGTCCTTGTTTGTCCCTACTACCTGGTATTCTTTTGTAAACTGCCTCTTGTGTTGGAATTCACCACACTCTGAACACGGAAGTTCCATTTAGCTACCAAAATGAATGGTTGTTGATTTAGACGAGCTTATTATTTGTTATTTTAAAGAGGAAGCGAGGTGATCGAGGAAGTAGGAGCTTAAAACCTTGGCGCTGAAGACAGACATCGCCACAGGTTCAGCACGGAGGGTCTGTCAAGAAAGAATGGCGAGGCACGACATGGAGAAGCTGGGCTGTGTACGACCAGCAGCAGAAAGAGCCCACACTTACGGTCTTGGGAAAGAAATAAGGCTATTTATCCCTGGTAGGGA